AAGAGCCAGTTTCAGGCTCAAAAATCATTCAGTTACACTTACACAAGCAGAGCAAGGCAACAACTATGTTGCTTCAGACTGAAACTGGCTCAGAGGGAACGGAGTAACATCCCTGCATACCTGATCACATAGATAAACCTTTAATTCAAAATACAAGTCTGCACCACAACAGGCCATTTTCCCACATAAATAAAGCCCCAAACCTGCTAACATTCCAAATGAACGTTGCTTATGTATCACAGCCTTATAAACTACCCTTCAGAAGTTACTACTCTAAAACTGAAGGTAGAGCTGAATGAAACAGTATCCCACTACCTTCTCAATGCTAATATTAGTACTTGCCAGGCATGCAGTCAACTGGGACTTGATCTGAATTATCTTTCAAACCCATGCTCCAGCTGACCCTACAGCCCTGTGAGTAATCACTCCAGCTGAAGGACCAGTTCTTTTGGCAGCCAGTCTTTCAACACAACACACCCTTAGGTACAAGAAAGAATTCAGAAGTCTAGAGAATGGCATAACAAGTACTTTACAGACATATGTGCAGAAAAGACAGCACATGGATAAGGAAAGCGTTCTAAAGTAAATGTTAACTGCAGGCATTTCTTAGTGATAAAGGCACATAAAGCAGAGAACAGGATTTGATTTCTTGAACTCAAATTGAATTTTTTAGGACAGGTAGGTAAAAAAAAAAGGATGCTTAAATTTATGAACTAAAAGTCATTATAATAAAAGAGAACATAAATTATACAAAATAAGTGTAATGTATATGTGATACCTAATCATATAAGAACTGATTTTTATTAAACAGGTGGAGGCCACGAATGAAAGTCAGTGCAATAATCAGAATCTTTATTATATGCACTAGTCATCAGCAAATGTTTCTATTTCTATAGCCAAGCATTAAATGACTTTGTACCTTGGACCTCTACTCAGACCACTGACTAATTCATCTCAGCCAACCAGTTGACATTTGAACAGCCATTAAAAAGTAACTATAAAAGCACTTTTGTTTCTCCATCCATATTCCAAGGTGAAGGATTTTGAACCTACATGAACCAAAATTGAGAGTTTGTAACTGTTTTATCCTGAGAACCTTCTAAACTCCTAGGTCTGGAGAAAGAAGCTCTCTCTCCTGGTAGGGCTGGAAATCTAGATTTAGGGAAAAAAAGTTTTATATGCAATGCTTCTGTATGAAGATACCTTCACAGCATGATACTCCAAGTTATCTGCTGTAAATCTATTACAATTTACTACAGGTTAAATTTGGATGTGTTTTACCCAGACTGACGCACTAACAGTAATTGCTCCATGTTAATAAAACTCATCTGTGCCTGCACACAGTTCAGCCAGTTAGCCTTCTCCTTAAAAGGAATATCCTTGAAAAAAATAATTTGTGCTGTTAAAACATTTGTAAGTTAATTCACATTTTTATGTAAGAAGCTGAACAAACTAGGAACTCATGATCTGACAGTGGTTCCACAAAGAAAAAGAAGAGTCAGGGAAAATATCCCTGTTTCTTAATACACTGCACTTGAAAAGTTCGTGCTCGAAAGTAGGAAGTCCTCCACGGAAACAGGAAAGTCAGGCTCAAACTGGGAAGCAACCTGCCGCGGAGGCAGCGCTAACGTGTCCGTGACCCCCCGGGCATGAAGCGACCGGCAAGATCGTGGCTCCGCAGTCTTCTCTGAGCCGAGCCGCGGCGCCCGGGCAGGCGACACCCGCACGGGCCCG